ACACCAGGCCTAAGTGGAAGGCGCAGCACAGTCACAGTGAAAGCTAGCAAACCGGCTTTCAAAGCCTTTTCAAAACACTCATTGGGTAACCACTGCAAGCACACTTGCTTGATATGCACAAGGCCTTTAATAACAAATTTTTGGGGGTAGTAGGCTGACGTTCGCTATGCTATTTTCCTTATTCTTCTGAAAAGCGTGGTATCCGCTAAACATTTGCAAGGATTTTTGTATTAAGTGTTCATGCAGTGGCTGGCGACGACGAGGAATTATGGCTGAAGTGGGTATGTGCCCAACTTAATAGGGGAACAAGAACCAGCTTTTGTAATAAATTGGAGCATTGGACGGCCCTCTTGTTACGCTATTCGCATTGTGCGACGACTGCTTGTTCTTTCGCTGTTTTAAAACGATTTATAAGTCGTACTAACGCGATTGCTTTCCCGACATCAAGCCTGCCTAAGGCAAGTTTGCCAACAAGTTAGAAGCAGCAGTGTAGCTCTGTGGTAGAATACCGGGCTGGCACCCAGCAGACCCAGGTTCGAGCCCTACTGTGTCATTGCTGCTAGGTTTTTTTTTCTTTCTAATTTCGCACGATGTGGAACAGCTTTCACTGTAAAATAGAGCCTCACTGCAACCGTTGAGCACGAGTGCGGCTGTGGTAAGCTTAAAATCTTTTAAAAATAAAATGCCTATCCCTGTCATGTGCTTTTAGTAACAACAGATGAAAATGCCAACTCCATTTCTCGAGCCTCTAAGCACGACTATAGATTCTTTTATATATTGCAAGAAATTAGGAAGTCTGCATAACATAATCGTTAATAGAAAACAACAAGAAAATGCTCCACGATGCTTCTGCCTGTTGCGACCACCTTTAAAATACATGGCCTTAGCAGATAAAAGAGGAGGCAGTGTGCTTTAATTCAGGCTCTTCGGACAATTGTCACCATAGATAGATGAGGCTTTCTGAATATGTTGATTGTGCAAAGAAGTTGCTACCAAAAGGCATGCCTACAGCAGTAGCCACTAGCAGGTCGATGTTAAGCTATTACAAGAAGGAAACTGTTCGGTACCACGACAAAACCACTCCCCCACTCGGATCAAAGGGCAGGGGGGCGTAAAAAGCATTTCACAACAGGAGTGGAGTTGGGTAACTCCAATTTACCCTGAATTTCATTGCAAGAACCACAATAACATTCTCTCGAGTATTGCCACGAGCTCAATCCAACAGAAAAATAGCACAGGTTTCTCCTTTCATGCAGGGCAGCTATCATGCATTCAAAATGCCAATCAATCCCTTTGACGTGCAGCAATAAATAATTCAATCATAATTGAATGTGACCGATTTATAAAGTGTGTGTTGAGTGTTGTGTAATTATGGGCTTGAAGTACGAATCCTGGTGCGACAGAAATTAAGAAACATACTTCAACAAACTGAAATCTGCTGAAACAGTGCACCTATGGTTATCATGTGTCCCTGTGTGATTTTTGTGGTTTGGTGAAATATTCAGCAATCACCTGTGATTATGTGTGCTTCGCCGGTGATGTGGTCGTGATTATGGGAGAGCCTGTGTGCGTTGGCGAGATTCTTAGTGGTATTTGGTGGCTTGGTGCGTTTTACTGCGACTCTTGGGACATAGCTGTCACCTATCAGGATTCAGAGTTCCTGCCACTGCCATTTCACTTGCGATCCCTATGCTCAAAATGAAGAATTTTAGCGATGTGAACGCTGCGGCAAGCTCCTGCAGCTGACCGCGCCGTGTGAAGCCTACGGAGCAAAGCCCATGGAGTATCAACGAAACACTTGCTCTTGCTCTAGCAGGGAGGAAAACACAACCCTGCGTAGTGTGACACCAGACAGACGCACAGACAGTGACGCATGTTCGACTTATAACAGCTCCGCCATTAAAGAGAAAAGGGTAGTCATGCGGTGTAACAAAGCCCCGCTGCACGGGTCAGACAGGTCGTGCAGTGGTCTCAGATTACACTCCGACTGTGTCACTGAAACCCAAATAGCTTTGATTGGATCATTATAATGAGGAGAATGGGCATCGAGCAACACGATAGGGAAGAGAAGGGGTGAGTGGGCATTACTGCGTTCCCAAAGATGTGACCGCAGAAGAGCAGGCTTTTTCGCATGAACCGTAACACGTAGAGGAAAAGGTGGCCGGTGTGGCAGCCCGCTCAGCCTTCAGAGGCAGGATGGTCATGGTGCAGGTTGCAAACACTGCACCAGGATGACTGAACCCCACGTCAGCAGCTTGTGATAGCATGTGGCCATCACCTGCAATTTCTGAGATTGAATAGGAAGTTCTGCTTGAAGCCATGATATGGTAGTGATGCATTTTGTATTGGTAAGATCTACACTATGAGGAAATGTTTGTTGCACTCTGAAGGAACCTACAAGAAACAGATTTAAAAAGTTATCAAGACAAAAAAAAAAAAGAGTTCTAAGCCGGTGCTTTAGAGCAGCTATCGATTTTACAATTATGGCGCAAAGCAGCAATTCCTCGACAGCCCCACAAATTTTACAGCCCTGTGTATGCAACTTATTTTTCAAAAAGCACATCATGTACAGTTTGACTTCCAACACGAAAAGGAGAAACTTGTGGAGCCAAAGCATAGCTAGCCGTCACATATTATTTCAACCAACTTCAGAGTGTACCAGTCGACAAGCCAAAGGTCCGAGGGTGCCGCTGAAAACTGCAAGACTGACACTTGAGATTGGGCTCCTCGCTCGAAAAGCCTCTTACCTCTCTAAGCATTGAATGGACTCCGCTTTGGGCAGTATGACTGAAGTGTACATAAGCGCTTCATCTTTTTCTGGTACTACAAGACCAGTGGATTGGATTCCAGCAACGAGCTTTCCCATCGAATGTTCAAACCTGTGCAGCACTTTGCTGACCTTATGAACCGGTTGCATTAAAAAGAAATGTGACCTATTATTCTGCTCTTTAGAAACTATGTTTCTAAACCAAAATTTTAGGACAAACAGCTTTTGAATAAAAAAATAAAACTGAAAAAAAAAACCTTTCTGTCAATACTTCAAATACTACTGCGAAGACACATACAACAATGGCACCCACAATTAACAGACTTTTTTTAAATGTTGGGCATTTTGCTTGAATGTAAATGAATGTAAACAAAATGCTCAACATTAGCACAACAGAGCCACCCCAACCATACTGAGCCCTAGACACAGTTGCACTTCTGCAGGTTCTATACTTGCCACAACACTCTATCCTGGTCTAAAGCAGGCGTCGGCAACTGGTGGGTCGTGAGCCAAATCCGACCCGAGCACACTGCACGAAGACAGTTTCAGGAAAAAGCACTGCAGCTATTACTTCAATGTGTGTGGTACTGCGTTACATAAAGAGAAATAGGTATACTTAAAATCTTCAGAACAGCAATATTACTCTGTGTCTATGTCCATATTTCTTTGATTTGTAATGCAACCCCTCCTTCTCTAATTCTCACGACATTCACTACAGTGGACATAGTCTGGCCTGTTTTGTAAGAGTATAGAAAACGGGGCGAATGGGAAAGAATTCAACACGGAAAGTTTTTCAGCGTGAGTGCGACAAACAAAAATGTTGGGCTACTTTGTGTTCTTTCCTCACATCTCTATTTTGTGCGTGCTGACAAACTTTCCATAACGGCCTGTTTTATAATGGCAGTTTGACTACACAGCCTCATGGTTGCAAAAGGTACAAAAATGAAGTTTACATAAGTGCTTCATCGTTTTCTGGTACAAGACCAGTAGATGGGATTCCAGCAACGAGTATTCCCGTTTGATGTCAACTTATGGCTTGAAGTAGAATTTTATTTCATGGAAATACTGAAATGTTTTGTGTGAAGTGCACCTATCCTGATCCCTTTGTGATTAATGGGTAGTTTGTGCTGCCGCCATTTGCTGAATCAACGCAGCAAGCAAAATGCGACCACTCAAAATGCTGAAATAAAGGATGGACAACGAGTTATCAATGTCGCCAGTGCCTCCTTTGCTTGCCGCTTTCTAGGTAGTACGGCTGCGGTGGCTCTGAACACTCATTGTGGCAACCAGATGATGAGAAATGATATGCATTAAACGCCCTGAATTTTTAACCGTTTCATTGCATAGACAGATATCTCACAGCTACTATCCCAACTCGGCAGGCACAGAAAAACCATCTTATCCAGCTTCTCCAATGAATTGCGGTTTCAGCAGGTACAGTGCAATAATTAAAATGCCTAGTATGTTAAATCTTTGTTGAACACTAAGCTCGTGGATAATTTAGATAGGAGTGTGGCAAGCACAAAAAGCTTAGAAGAGGATGCAGCTCGTCTACTTTGCAGTAAGGCAAGACAAAATGCGTTAGCGCAATCCAGGAACCACCCATCCTACAGCTTCAGAGGGCAGATGCGCACAGCATGCAGCGGAATTTTTGCGCACGACTTAATGCCAAATAAAAACAATGTGCAATTAGGGGGAAAAACCTGAATTAGGGATTAAAAGACCTTCACACTTTTATCCCAGCCAGAAAAACAAACGTTTGGCCCGACTAACGTTTACGATTCCGCTTTGCACTGTAGCATGCCAAACTCCCTTGCGAGATCTCGAAATCATTCACTGTTCATGCAACAGTGAGCGGCTTTAACAGTCATTGTACGCGACGTCGAAAGTATGCGAACGGAAGTACGACACAGTAACAATGTTACGAAGCTTCACTCCTGTCTTAAACAATGTTCGCTGAGAATAGCAGAAAAAAAAAAGTCAAGTACTACCGTAACGATTAGCGGATTCGGTCATTCGTCTTGCACACAGAAAGCTTTTGCCATTCAAATGACGAAAACTTGCCGTGGCTTGAAGACTGAAAGCACGCGGGCCCGGCGTACGTGCGCCTTATCTGACCGCAAATTCGTATCGCCTGCCCGAAGAAGACAGTGTGCACTCGTTTAGCACGCCTCTTGTCAAGATTAACCCGTTCGCCCGGAACAATGTACCGAGATCAGGCTGTAGTACTCACACGTAGATGGACGGACCCCGGCATCTTGATTTGACCTGAAACGTACAACAATAATAAAAACAAACCCGGTAACGAAAGAAAGAAAAAAACTTCTAGCGCGTTACAAGAGTTGCAGCATAAAGCTTTAGCGATCACTCGGGCGCCGCATCGACGGCAAGAAACGGAATTCGCGAATGCAGTCACCTTTTGGAAACGCGAGGCGGCCAAGTCCCCGAAGGAGTGATGAGGGATACCCGGGGTCGCATAAACGCTGTCGAAGACGACCTAGATGGGATATAGTAGCCGATTTTCTGCGTTAAAACACTGTTGTTCTGACAAGTCCATCACACGAACAAGACCGGACATGGTGACTTCCCGATACCGCACGGACGGCCCGTTTTACGATTGATGCGTGAAAAAAAAAAAAGCGCAGGATTCAATAATTGACTCGATGTACCGGCATCAACCAACGCCAGACAGCAGTAAAATTTGCGGAAACCCAATCTTCGAAGCTCAAAACAAACCTTTTCGACTTTTGAGAAAACTATGGCCTACAAGTGCTGCCATCTACCAGATTAAAGTTGGCGTGCAAAAGTTTTTAATAAACATTTGGATCTTATACAAAAAATGCGACAAAAAATATTGTTATGTTTTGAATTTGTTGAGTTAGATTAGGTCAAATAAAAAAAACAAGTTAGAAGTAATGTTGTGACACAAAGTTGTAATTTAGTAAAAAAGAAAAACGTTGTACAGAAACTTTTAAAAAGTAATAAGATAACTACGGTTATAATTCTGTAAGGTAAACTTTGAAATTTACAAAAAAGTTTGCGATTAGTGTTAAGCAAAACCGAGCACGTCGTGGCAATCGTAAACGAGCAAAGCGCATGCGCAGGAGCAAAAAAACCGGAAGTTCCGCTAGTCGTTTGTCACGCAGTGGGCGGAGCTTCGTTGTAAGGTTCGAAAGTGATTGACACCCATCCCGGACGCCCACGTGACTGGCGCCAGGCGCGCGCATTGGTTACTCCCTTTTATGACGTAGCTGTCGTCACAGCATACGCTCATCTTTTATGGCGAAGTGGCTTGACTGGCATTATCGTTCAACCCACCCTGAAGCCGCTCGCTGTCCGTCAAAAGTATTCCAATCAAAACACTCAATTACAGTTGGTTTAGCGTAGCGTGAGTGCGGACTTATGGATGGTGGTGCTCCGGGAGCCGTGGCTAACGCCGTGTGAGGCCTACCGCTGGTGTTTGTAGCCGGGCCGCCCGTGAAAAGGTGCTTCCGAGCGATGGACGAGCAACAAAGAATGATGCACCCAGTATCACAACATCCCATCGTGAGCATGGCGGGCCATGTCGTGCCCCAGCATGGTTACGGAATGCCTCCGCAATCGCACGGTGTCGACCCGACGGGCCAACAGGCCGCACCCGACCAGGAGCCGAGGAAGCACGACATTTCGGAAATTCTCCAACAGATCATGAACATCACCGACCAGAGCTTGGACGAAGCGCAAGCTAGGTATGTAGCCTGCCTCCGGGGTCTGCGATTTTTCCCCGATTCTGCGCGTCTCGGAGAACAACGGAATTGGTGATCACGCAGCGGGCATTGACACACGATCGCCAGCTGTAACCCGGCGATGGCGCGGACATCCGTGCAACGTGTGTTGTGCCGCGCGCGCGAGCCGCGTCGGACTGCTCCCGTACCCCCTAACCCTAACGCCGGAATCGTCGGCTCGGAAAGGCTTAGTACTTCTCCGGCCGACGACATCGGCACTGTAAGCGTAAGCCTGCATCCGGCTTACCGGCTGTCTTTCTGCCCTTTTCTTTTGCCAGGAAACACACGCTCAACTGCCACCGAATGAAGCCCGCTCTCTTCAGCGTCCTCTGCGAAATCAAAGAGAAAACAGGTGAGTTGCTCAAAACTTTTTTTTTTAGGCTTGTACCGTACCTGGGGGCCGCCATGTTTGTGTGTAGAGTCGCATTTAGAGTGTGTTTCTGACGCTATCGGCGGCCGATCGCGTCTCGGGCCAGCGGCGATGACAGCGGAAGACACTGCCGCAGGCTACCGCACGGGAGGCGAGGCCTAGTATCGAGCACGGCCTTCCCTGCGCGCGCCCAAGGCCCGCGTCGTCTGCCTCGGTCCCATTAAGCGCCGTGCGTGCAGCAACAAAACGCACGCGCGTCCACCGGCTGTTCACTGCGTTTGTCAACAGTGATAAGCGCTGTCAGCGGCCTCGCCGAAACGCCACCGACTCGTTGTAGCTCTCGGGCAGCCCGAGACAACCGCTTATCGGCTTGTGTCAGTAACCGGCTCCGGGGAGTCCGTGGGTGCTCTGACCCCTCGCGGGACGCGTGCACGGCGTCGTTGTTCCGGGGCGCACGTGAATTCCGTCCGTGGCGGGAAACGTATCACCAACTGGCGGCTTACATACATACATTTGCACGGCAAGTGGGGAGGCCACTAGTTGCTTTGCGGGAGTCTCACTAATCCAAAACACCCTCCTGTGTCCGTTCCAATACGAAAAGCCTGCTCTGGGTGAGCGGCTCACGTGCCTCGATCGCCGCCTCGCATGGCGTTCGTGACGGTGTTTTGTGCCGGGTATGAAGTCTACGCGGCGGCTTCAATTTCTCGGTGCAGTGCTCGCCGCTTCGTGTCCGGCTCGTCTGCCCACTTTTCTCCTGGTTGCCCTCTCCGTCGCTCGCGTCGATTAAGCTAAAGAGCCACGACGCCTTATTACGCTGCTCATTTGTTTCCGTTTTTTTTTTTTTGCTTCCTCTCCAACACCGTAATTACGAAGCGCACGTCTGTGCACTCTTGAGGCACTCCACCGAGTACACCGCGATGGGTTACGAGCACGTCGCTATGTTTCACATCGGTGCCTCCTCCTTTTATGTTGACGCTCTCCTCGGACGTGTGCTGGCCAATTTAGACGACTCGCTTTTCTTCTCTAGCTGCCCTGCCGACGAGAAAATTACCTGCATTTGCTGGCGTCATTTGATGGGCCGTGCGACAATAGCGCGCGCTTGAGAAAATCGTTCGGCCACTGTTACCGTTTATTAAAAACACTGACGAGAACTATTATGCAATCTTTAGAGTAACCTTCCGACAGCGCTAGTATGGTGGTACGTGCTTCTCCCTTATCTTATTCTATTTCAAAACTTCCCGTTCGTTGAGTCACATTCGTACCACGTTTACTAAGTGAGCGACCGTGTGGTGTCTTATGTGTGTTTCTTTCTCTGTGTGGTTTATTTGGCGCGACGTTGACTATTTAATCAAGATGTGCACCAACTAGCCCAACAGCGAGTTATACTATACAAAATTGCCCGACGCTACATCGCGTTCGGTAAAGGTCTGCATGTTGTTTCAGCAAGCGGCATTTGCGTACTTGTCGCGCACATTCACGAATCCCCTCTATTATCACAGTGAACTTGAATGGGAGACTGTTGCATGTACGTTGAACTGTCGTCGTTGTGTTCTTGTTGACATTCTTCAGGACGCCGGCAGTGATTACGAGTCCAGTAGGACAGCCTCTTGACGTGCCGGTCGTGTGATTCAGCCTTGTGGCGTAGTGCGAAAAAAATTGCTGGCGCGAACGAAGCATACCCGACACGGTTGCCGATGTGCGTGGGTAGCGAACAAACTGGCGGAAAAACGGGCGGCTATTACACGTTTCAACGTGCATGCAGTGCACGTTTATAGCGCGGAATTGTTGAGGAGCTGGCGTTGCATGGTGTCTTTGAAGGATCTTGGCGTGTGTTCAAATTTTAGGCAAGATGTGACTGTACACTGTGTGTCGTGTGCTTGTGTAAAACAGCGGACAACGTACAACACGCAAGAAGCGGTCAACACAGCTCTGACAATGACCGCTCCTTGTGTGTCTGCTCGCGCTTTCGATCCTTTATCGGCATCACCGAGATTCTGTCTCGGTGAAACGTTCCCGCGATGTCGTGAAAGAGCTCGATTAAGAAGTGTGTCCCTCAGTTCTTTTGGTGGGCTCTTTGCTGGTCTTTTGAAAGTCCTTGTGACGAGAATTTAGTAAAACTGCGGTTCACACTCCACACTGACCGTCGGAGAGAAAGTTGTGAATAGCTGTTGGCGGTCATAGAGTCTTGTCTCCCGCAACGGCTGCGCATTATCTCGGTCTACGACCTTCCTGAAACGGCGGCCCTTATCACTCGGGTGCAGAGCTTGCATGCCGCTCCTCTTCGTAATCCTTTGCCGTCAGCGCGCGTTTTGCAGAGCGAGGCGGCCTACGCGCACGCTCGCGTAGGATATCGGCCTATCTGTTCAACGCGCCCTGCGACACGGATTTCGCACGCACTCATACGTGCGTTTTTTTTTTATTCTTCTTGTCCACCCTCTTCCTCGACTACTTCCTGGCACGAGGAGGCCGCGTCGTGCACACTAGCAGCTCGCAGGTGACTCGAACATTGCAAGTGCTACACTACACCGGCGCGTTTCGACACACTTGCTCACGGCGCCGCGCGTCGTTATCAGCCGTTGTCCGTGTGGGGCTTCGTTTTCTAGCAAGGCCGCCAGCGGGCGAAAGGTTGTGTACGCGCTCGGCACGTTCAACGCGCAGCACCTGCGAAATCACCGCCTTGACATGCTGCTCGTAGTACACGTCGCAGGTAGGCAGGTTACTGTGCCTGTAGAGCGCGCGCAGACTGCGGGCCGCCGCCAGGTTTTCGCTGCATCTCGGTGCACGCCGCATTAATCAGCGTCTTGGGGAGGCTGGGTGTAATGAATGGGAGCTGTGGCGGGGCGCACCCGAAAGTCCGTGGCGTTGTGTGACCGCAGCGAGGGTAGCCTCCATGCAAATTTTGAAGAACTATCCTCAGGTCACGCGTTCGTGTGTCAGTGTTTTCTGGTTTCCACACTGGTGCTCGCCGTACTTCTTTTGAGCCACTGATTTTTTCATGCGCGTTGAAGAACTGATCAGTTTCTCGCCTTTAAATGGCAACGCGGGGGGTGTTACCCCGCTTTGCGTCATTCTCGGGAGTAGCAATGGTACGACCTCAATCCACTGCTGCTCCCTTGGCGGCTGTCGTGCGTTTTCGAAGTTGAAGAGGGAGAAGGAGTGAACGAAAAAAAAATGTCTGACGACTGGCTAGTGTGAATCAATACTGTATTAGGCCCCTACCACTTGTGGGCCCGAACTCCTATTCTCAAGTGGCGCTTGGCGCGCTAGGACGCGTCGATTAATTTCACCCGAAGCTACTTTCCATGTTCGGAGGTTCTCATTATTCACTTATCGAATTAAACCGTCGTTACGCCTGGGCGAGGATTTTTGCATGCATTGGCACGCGGAGTTAGGTAAACACGCTGTTCACCTCGCTTTCGAAAAAGCTGGCCCACTTACTTCGGTTATTTCAGGATCAGCGAAAAGAAATAAACACGCTTAGCGATACGTGTGCATCTCCTAGTGAGAGATCGCGCCGCGTTCTTGCTTGCAGGTTGTGAGAGACTTCTTGATCCCCCTCTCCGAGTATTTTTCGTGGCATGCGGCGGCGGAGGGAGCGGGCGTGTTTCTCGAGGCGCGTCACCTAAATGCTGTCCTTTTCTTCTGCTCCCAGAAATTCTGCGCATACGAAGGAGGCCCGGGCCCCGTCCCTGACAGCTTCTCGACACTGGAGCGGGGAGCGCGTTGGCCGAGTTTGCGGTCGTAACGGCTCTCTCACGGCTCGTCGTCGGGTGTGAACACTGAGAAACGCGCCGCCGCTTGTGCTACCACGTTCGTCCACCCTCTCGATATTTTCGTGTGCCTCGCCAGAACTCTCCACCAAAACTTTGTGCTTCTCTAGAACTTCGTCCGCACCAAGTCCTCCAAAGAGTGACGTATCATATAGAGGCGGTTCATTAAAGACGTCGTTCATCGGCTCTCAACCTTTATCGGACGAATCTCACTCGAGCGTTGGTCCTCGAAAGCCTTGCAGCTTCGACGACCGCGTTTTGTGTACTTTGCAAATACTGCGCCTCCAGGCTAGACTCACCGGAGACGTTGCATTTCTCCGGTGATTCTAGTCGCGGAGGCTATATACGTATGCACTAGAGTCTCTCTTTTTTTTTCTTCTTGAGAAGCTTGGGCTGCGAGTAAGGAAGGAAGCGCTTCTCTGACGTCAGTCAAAGGCTGTGGCGACTCTCGTTGGCTCAGCGCAGTGTGTATATAACCGTTATCTTATTTAGTAACGTAAGGCTAGAGAGAACATGCGGAGTCTACAGGGCGTATTTTATAACCCGAGTACTTGAAAGTGCTGTAATGCAATGCCGTTGCTGAACGCGCTGCATCCTCAATACTTGTCGCCCGTGAACGATTTTCAGGCTCCGTGCTGAGCGTAGGGAAGCAGTGACGCTGCGTTGCGTGCCAGTTCGAAACAACGGATAGATTTAGATTAGAGGGCGCGAGAGGTTTGCGTACGCAACTTGCTTGGCTTCATGTTGGCATTGATGAGTGCGCTAGTCGTTTCATAACACGAAGCTTTATAGCGCGAGACTTAGCCGTAGGTCGCGTGGGCCAGTACGATGGTCACGTGATCCCTGCATGCCCTACACAGCTCGCGTCTGGCAGCGCACGGCCGTCTCGGGTAGGAGGAGAGCGCGATACGCGACCGCTTCCTTTTGAAACAATGCGTACCTGAAAAGATCGTTTCGACTTTTTCGCTCGCGTGTTTGGCGGCGTGACGGAATCGCTGTCGGCTCGTACACTGTTTCGATGCCCCGGAGCATAAATGGAGAGCGAACAGCTGAATCGCGACGTGAGAGTTTGGTGATACTTCTTGATCCCCCCTCCCTCCCTCCGACAAAGGTGGAGCCCCCGGCGAGGCATCGATTCCTCCTCGGTGGCTTTCGCGCGCTCGACGCGTCCTTGATGAATGGTGCGTGGCGCAACGCGCCTGTCATCTGTTT